TATATATATATATATATATATATAGACTCTTCAGTATGTTGGCTTCAGCTATGGCTTTAAATGTGGCTGCCCAGTGCCACCATAGGAAGCCTGTGAGGGATGGGGGAGGGACACACTGACGGCCTTGGGTGATTAGGACAGGGACCCCAATTTTCTCCCACTCTCCCTGGGGGAGGTCATGCATCCCAAACCACTGCCTCCCTGGCAGACAGCCCTGAGCCTTTCTGAGCTCTGGATCCTCTTTCACTAGATGCTGGTACTCTGTTGGGAAGAAGGTAAGATGAAGCTCTCTTTTGCTAAAGAAAATAGGTTTCCTGGAGCATCCAGAAGTCAGACAAAGGCACAGAACATATTTTCAGACCCTTCATCATCTTCATCAACCAATATTCAGCAAGTTAAGCATGCCAGTCCCATGAGGCTTTGGGAAAGGGCAATATGAGCCCCATTTGGGGAAATACTAAATCCAGCAGAAGACTCACAGGCACCTACACTATTGTAAAGCCGAACATATGAGTGCCCGGCTGCATGAAGAATTACATTCTGTACGATGCATCAAATTCAGAGAAAGTACTTCCTATAGGCTGAGTTTCTCAATGACTTGAGGGCACAGAAAGCTTTATCACAGGCTTTGTCTCTTACCGATGTCAGTTTTAAACTCTCATTCTCCCTCCTCAGTTCAAAGAGAAGTATTTCAGGCCTGTGCCACTGGGAAGAGAACTGGGAAGGTGAACAGCAGCCCCAGAGAGAAAATTCCTGGCTTGTCACCCAGAATACTGAGTAATCTGAATCTTTTACACCAGGATCAAGAAAACCAAGTGATGAGGACCAGGTTTGCTGGTCCTATAGAGCCTGGTGGAACCACTGAGACTATGGCCCCTAGCTGCCCTTCAGGTCTGGAATTGAACCCACACCTGTGGTTTCCAGCCAAACAATGTACAGGCATGTGAGTTAAACATTTACCTCAAGCAGACACACGCCCTGGAGAGAACAATCATGGGAGAAGAAAGGGCTGCTTATGCACAGGGAGACAGCAGGAGAGTATGGAGGGATGGTCACTGGGAAGAGGTACCTATGGGGAGGAAGTGGGAGGGGAGCTGTTGCATTGTAAACTGTGGTCAATGACATGAGACAAAGTTTATGTGAACTGCTGTATGGAAAGTGAATTTGCTCTGTAAATCTTCACCTAAATCACAATAAATAAAAAAAAAAAGAAAAGAAAACCAAGTGAGTAGGCCCTCTCCTTGGTGGTCTCAGAGAGGGCACACATCAGATGGTCCGCCCCCAGACCTCTATAGGGCCCCTTGTGATCTCAGGAGGCCTAAAGCCATCATGTACAGCACTACAGGTAGTGCACTGCACAACTCCAAGAAGCACCCACAGATGGTGTGAAGGCTGTCCCCTAGTGTTGTACAATGTGGCTGTCTCAGGAGCCCCCTTCATAAGACCCAGGATCCCACCCAGAGATCACCCACCATCCACTGGAGCCCCAGGACTTAAATACATATATACATCCAAGCCAGATACATGTTTTCATTTTTTAAATAACAGATTAAGTGATTTCTGAGGTGATTTCTTGCAGGTGGATTTGGATCTTTACACTCTACTGCTTCAGTAGAGAGGGCAAAAAAGGAAAACCAGGCCTTTATCCAATATCTTGGGGAAAATTTTTCTGAATTATTTATTTATTATTATTATTTTTTTTTTTTTTTTGTCATCCCTTTCACTTCTTTCAGGCTATGGCTTGTAAATTTCCAAGCTTTCCACCCTCCCCTTTGGTTCTTCATGAGCTCACCCAGAAAATCTGTTCCTAGCCTGGGTTTAGCTCTATGAGCTTCATGTCCACGAGAGGGCAGGAGGCTCAAGGCCACACAGTGCAGGCAACCAAGGGGGTCTCTGGCTTCAGAGCGGTGGCAGAAAGTCAATGCGGATTTGACTCAAAGTCATTTATTTGTGTGTCAGGCTTTCTATTTACAGAAGCACATAGCCATCTTTAATACTGAGATCCCCAGGGACTGAACCACTGTGGCAGGTGACACTGAAAAGGGAGAGGCTGCTGACATTAACTCCTGATGTTAACTCTATCCCCATAGGCAGCCTCAAAGATTCACCAAGACCAGAAATGCAGCCCCCACCCTCTCTCAATCCCCTCCGTCCAGAGCCTTAGTTGGGGCTCTACTGAAGCCATGAGTCAGCTCACCTACCCACCTTGCAGCAAACAGCCCTACATTATTAGTTTTCTAGCCACAGGCATTGGGGATGGTCGGCACAAAGCACCTAGCAGGCTGGTACTGGGGGATGCTGGAGACACAGAACTGAGCGTCCCAGGGGAAGCCCAGGAGTCATGCCTAGAGGAAGGAACCCTGGTGGTACAGAGTTAAGTGCTTGGCTGCTAATTGAAATGTTGGCAGTTCAAACCCACCCAGTGGCTCCACAGGAGAAAAGACATGGTGATCTGCTTCCACAAAGATGATAGTCTAGAAAACCTTGTGGGCAATTCTACTCTGCCACATGTGGTTGCTAGGAGTCAAAAGCAAACGACTCCTCGGCTGTGACAACACAGCAAGAAGTCTAGAGAAAGGTAATGTACGAGACTCTTAAGTAACCCAGTAGAGTTAGGCAGAGGTAACCGAGCCCAGCTGAGCCAAGCAGCTGTCCCTATCATTTCTGATTCTGAGCAATGTGGCAAGACAGAAGGTCATGGGGGCTGGCAAAGAGCCAATAATAATGGCATAAAACCCAGCAAGTCAAGTGCTGAGTAAGGACCACACATAATCTACTTCCTATTCATGTGCTGTCTCCCTGAGTCCCAGCCCAGCCTCAGAAGGCCAGGCCTGAGGGCCCACCTCAGTCTGGTCTAATCTACCCACCCCCACCTTCCCACTGGCAGCATGCATGCCCCAAGGCCAGACCCACTGTGGTTTGGGCTATTCATCAAGCTCTTCCCTTTGGGATTCTAAACTTAACCAGTCCTTGGGGCTCAGTGGGGACTGACCCCAGAGAATCACTCTGTCCTTCTGGGAAGCCAAGACCAAAGTTAACACCTTCACAGATTATCTGAACCAGCAAACCTAAGGCAAGATAGGGAAGGAGCAGCTCTGCCTGTCACTGGGCTGCTGTTGTTCAAGAGTGTGGCTCAGTTCAGGCACAACCAACCTGTGACTTTCAACGTGCTTTTAGGCAATGTGTTTGTGAGTCTGTCACCTGTGCTTAGACAAAACCACCAACCATAGAGCTCACCAGAGCTCACAGGGAGACTGGGTCAGACAGACAAGGGGGAATGTACAGGGCATTCCCACATGGGCAGCCACCCACAGGTGCACAGACACCCACAGATGCACAGATACACAGACACATGCACACAGGCACAGACACGCCCCCAGCACACCCGGCCATGACTCATACCCTCTGAGTGGCGTGATTCAGCATCTCCTGCCAGGCTGAGTCGAACTGCCGCTTGTCATCTTCCAGCAGCCGCTGCTCGGCCAGAGAGATGGTCTCCTTGGCAGCACGGAGCACCTCAGTGGCCCTCTGGAAGTCCTGTGTGGCTTTCTGAGCTTCCAGCTGAGCCTGGGTGAGAAACAAATCTGTGAGGCCTTAGGGAATGGCAGGGGCTTCCCATGGCCATCACACTCCCCAAAAGATGAGCTCCCCGATGCCTGAGACATGACTCTTCCACCCCAGGCCTGACACCAATAGGGCCCTACAAATGCTGGGTGAGTTAATAGACCCCTTCTCACAAGCTGGGACCCAGTGGACTAGGTAAGCATGCCAGCCATCAGTCAGGTACACAGATGGCCACCTACCCTCATGAGACAGGTATACCAACGTGGCCTTTCAGAGACAGTTCTCACTCAATCATGATGGGCTCATTGGTGCCTAGCACTTTCCCTGCCCAGATCTGTAGGTCAGCTCCTGACATAGGAGAACCAGAAAGCCTCTGAAGGTGACAGTCCAATGACCCCAATCAAACTGAGGCTCTGAGAAACCACAGGACTGACTCAAGATCACACAGCTGGTTCAAAGCAGAGCTGAGACCAGACTTCAGTTCCTACAAATCCCAAACCTAATGTGTCCCACTCTACTCATGCTCGCCAACACCAGCAATGGACCAAGCATGCTGGCAGGCAGACAGAGAGAGGAATTAATTATAACTAACATAGCTGCTGCTTTTAGGAGCATCAAGAGGGAGAGATCAACAGAAATCCCAGCTGACATGTCTAGACCTGCACTAATACATGTGGCTACTGAGCACCTAAGATTAACCCAAAGTGAAATGTACTTGAAGTGTAAAACACACCACATTTTAAAGACTAAAGTACAAAAGAAGATGACAAAATATCTCATTACTAATTTCTAGATCGATTACACCATGAACTGATAACATTTTGGATTTATTGGGTTTAGTAGTTACTGTTGGTTGATGGCAACTCATGGCGACCTCATGTGTGTCAGAGTAGATTGTATTCGTAGAGCTGACAAAGAGGAAAACTACTAACAAGCATCTGACTTTGATTGTAAGGCCTTTTTTATCCATGAAATAAAATATTAACCATAAAATACCCAAACAAAAGTAAATCCTGCCAGCAGCTTTTGCCACCCAAAATTGCTCATCTTTCTTTCCTGTTGGAAGCCAGACTTGCTTAATATACGTTACAAAAGGGTTGGAGGTGGGTGGAGGGCCAGAGACCACCTCCATAGAAGTTGGTGAGTCAGTTCTGCTTTGAACCAGCTGTGTGATCTTGAGTCAGTCCTGTGGTTTCTCAGAGCCTCAGTTTGATTGGAGTCATTGGACCGTCATCTTCAGAGGCTTTCTGGTTCTGCTATGTCAGGAGCTGACCTACAGATCTGGGCAGGGAAAGTGCTAGGCAGCAGTGGGCCCATCATGATTGAGTGAGAACTGTCTCTGAAAGGCCACGTTGGTATACCTGTCTCATGAGGGTAGGTGGCCATCTGTGCACCTGACTGAGGGCTGACATGCTTACCTAGTCCACTGGGTCCCAGCTTGTGAGAGGGGGTCTATTGACTCACCCAGCATTTGGAGACCAACTCCATAGCAGTTGGTCTCAGTAAAAGGGGGAGGCCAGGGTTCAATCATGTCAAAATTAGCCAATGGTTGATCTTCTGTTTTCCTTCCTCCTCTTCTCTGTACAAGTCTCATTGTAACCAGATTACTTGGACCCATAATCAATGCCCACGGAAGCAGCAATCAAGAAATCAGACTATGTACTGCACTGGGCAAATCTTCTGCAAAAGACCTCTTTTAAAATGTTAAAGAACAAAGATGTCACTTTCAAACTAAGGTGCACCTGACCCAAGCCATGATATTTTCAATAGCCTCACATGCCTGTGAAGGCTGGACAATGAATAAGGAACACCGAAGAAGAAGTGATACCTTTAAACTGTGGTGTTCGTGAAAAATACTGAAAATACCATGGAATGCCAGAAGAATAAACAAATCTGTCCTGGAAGAAGGCAGCCAGAATGCTCCTTAGAAGCAAGAATGGCCAGATTTTGTCTCATATGAAATATGACTTTGGTTATATTGTCAGAAGGGTCCATTCCCTGGAGAAGGATATCATGCTTAGTGGAGAATCAGCAAAAAAGAGAAAGCCCTCAACGAGATGAACTGACATAGAGGGTGCAACGACGGGCTTAAGTATAGCAAGGATTGTGAGGATGGTGCAGGACTTGGCAGTGTTTCACTCTGTTGTACATAGAGTCGCTGTGAGTCAGAACCAACTTGACGGCACCTAATGGCAAAAAGAAGTAGCCTACTTCAAGTTATTTGCTTTTTTGGAATCAGAATGGTCTCCCTAATTGCGTATAGAATAACTGCTCAGAATAAAGCTCATGTTTCAATTTCTTTGAGTCTGATTATTTTAATCAGGTTTTTCAATGCTGATAGTTCTGAAATAGATTGCCAAGCCTTTCTTTCAAGGCACCTCTGAGAGGACTTAAACCATTTGTACCACCCAGGGACTTCATATTGGGTTAAGTGAAGTATATTATTTAAATTAATTTCACCTGTTTCCTTTTTATGTTTTTTTTTTTTTTAATGTGGCTACTAGAGAATTTAAAATTGCAAATGTGATTCACACTATATTTCTTTTAGACAGTAGACACAACCCCCCAAGAGTAGGCTGGTCATGTGATTGCATCAGAAATTAGCAACAAGACATTACTGTCACAGTCTTAGGACAGAACCACCTTGAATTTCTGAGCAGAGGATTAGCAAGCCATTTCCAAATGCTGGCCCCAGCCAGGGTCCAAACACAACAGCCCTAGGGTTAACTAGTTCCATAAATCAGTTACATAAGCCCTGAGGATCACCCATAAGGCAGTCCCTCTGACTCAAAGGGGAGGAAAAATACGCACCCACACCCATCGCCAGAGCAACTCTCACATGACTTAGAGGAAGCCCTCAGAAACCACAGGCTAAGGATATTTCAAGAAGAGGTCAAGGGGGAAAATCTGAGATTTGTAGCACACACTTGTCTATGTCAAGAAATCTGGAAGACAGCTACCTGGCCAACTGATAGGAAGAGATCCATATTTGTGCCCATTCCAAAGAAAGGTGATCAAACAGAATGAGGAAATTATCAAACAACATCATTAATATCCCATGCAAGTAAAATTTTGCTGAAAATAATTCAAATACAGTTGCAGCAGTACATCAACAGGAATTGCCAGAAATGCAAGCTGGATTCAGAAGAGGGAGTGGAATAAGGAATACTATTGTTAATGGCAGATGGATCTTGGCTGAAAGCAGAGAATAACAGAAAGATGTTTACCTGTGCTTTATTGACTATGCAAAGGCATTTGACTGTGTGGCTCATAACAAATTATGGACAACACTGCAAAGAATGGGAATTCCAGAACACTTGATTGTGCTTGTGTGGAACCTGTACATAGACCAAAAGGCAGTTGTTCGAATAGAACAAGAGGATACTGCTTGGTTTAAAATCAAGAAAGGTGTGCATCAGGGTTGCATCCTTTCACCATATTTATACAATCTGTATGCTGAGCAAATAATGTGAGAAGCCGGACTGCATGAAGAACCTAGCATCAAGACTGGAGCAAGACTCATTAAGAACCTGCGATATGCAGATGATACAACTTTGCTTGCTGAAAGCAAAGAGGATTTGAAGTACTTACTGATGAAGATCAAAGACTACAGCCTTTAGTATTGATTGCAGCTCAACATGAAGTGGGAGCTCTGGTAGCATAGTGCCTAAGGCACTTGACTGCTGACCAGAAGGCTGGCGGTTCAAACCCACCAGCCACTCCTCGGAAGGAAGATAGGGCAATCTACTTCCATAGTGATACTGTTTCAGAAACCCAAGGAGGGGTCGTTATGAGTTGGGTCTGACTCAGTGGCACATAACAACAACATAAAGTGATCACAACTGGACCAATAAGCAACATCATGATAAATGGAGAAAAGACTGAGGTTGTCAAGAATTTCATTTTACTTGGATCCACAACCAACATCCATGGAAGGAGCAGTCAAGAAATCAAACAATATATTGCATTGGGCAAATCTGCTGCAAAAGATCTCTTTAAAGTTTAAAGAAAAAAAAAAAGCAAGATGTCACTTTGAAGACTAGGTCCACCTGACCCAAACCATAGTATTTTCAATTGTTTCATATGTATGTGAAAGTTGGACAATGAATATGGAAGACCGAAGAAGAAATGATGGCTTTGAATTGCGGTATTGGCAAAGAATACTGAAAATACCATGGACTTCCAGAAAACTGAACAAATCTGTCCTGGAAGAAGTGCAGCTAGAATGCTCCTTAGAAGCAAGAATGGCCAGACTTTGTCTCACTTACTTTGGTCATGTTGTCAAAAGAGACCATTCCCTGGAGAAGGATATCATGGTTGGTAAAGCAGAGGGTCAGAGAAAAGGGGGAAGGCCCTCAGTGAGATGGACCAGCACAGTGGCTGCAACAATACTCAAACATAGCAATGATTGTTTCATTCTGTTCTTCAGTGTTTCATTCTGCTGTAGACAGGGTGGCTGTGAGTCAGAACCTAAGGGCACCTAATAATAACAGCCCTCAGGCAAAGAGCTCTGGTGATGTAGTGGGTAAGGCATCTGGCTGCTAACCAGAAGGTCGGCGGTTCAAACCCACCAGCTGCTCTGCAGAAGGAAGATGAGGCTATTTACTTCCGTAAAAGATTTACAGCCTTGGAAACCCTATGGGGGTTGCTGCAAGTTGGAATCGACTCATCGGTAATAGGTTTAGTTTTTTGGTTTAGGGCAAGGAATGGCCTTCTAATCATATGGTTGCCAGTCCCTGTCTTTCAAAAAGGTGTGCTATAGAACAGACCTAAACCCTAACAACCTTTAGGCAATGGCCACCCGGCAAGGGAGATGAAGCTCCAAGAAGAATGAACTCTTGCCAACTTCAATTCTTGGCCATAGTCAGTGGTTATCCATGAGACCTTCATTGGCTAATTTTCAGAGGCATATCATCAGGACTTTTCCCTAGTCTGTCTTTACTGAAATTTGTCCACCACATATGACCCTGCTGCTGAGACACTGGTGGCATAGCTTCCAGCCT